CGAAGCACAGCGCGGGGGGCGGGTGCATACGGCTGGTTAGTCTCATGCACTCCGCCCCCGGGTCAGGCCGCACGGGAAACGACGGCCGGCACGCAACAGCGCTTGTTTGGCGCTCCAACTAGACGGGATCTATGCCCGTTGGTCTCCTAACATAAACGAAGTCGCAACTGGGGGGCTCTTCCTGCCGACCGAACGAACCGAGCATCTCAGAGAGCTCGCTACCAGGACTTGGGCGACCGGGAGCCCGACGAGTCTTCCCGGGCTGGGGAGGTCACCAAGCTCAAAAATCCTCACGCAAAAAAGAGCGCAAAGAGCTCACACCACAAGACGCCAAACAGCCTCCTGAGACTACTACCCTCCTCCGCCTCTCCCTCCCTGGGCTAGTCCAGGGGAGATAGCCCCCGTCGAGGGGGTAACACCGCACAAGTATGTATGTATGTATGTATGTATGTATGTATATATGTGGAGGGGGCCATGTGTGATCTTTTTTTGCTACGTACGGAAACACAAAGCCGAAAAAAATCGTGTACGTAAGTGTACATATGTCTGTACGGCTAATATCCCTCGGGAGGGGACCGGTGCTGTATCTTAAAAAGACACCAGCGGCCGTGTCCTGCATCCATGTAAATCTGTATATATGTCAATGTGTCTGTCCCCTTCCACAACCTGGCTTGATTGCTCCCCCTTGACGATTTCTCCCCCTCTCCCCCCCGCCCACCTCGCAGCTCCACAGTCCACACGTCCCAACCGCGGGAGGCCAAGTGGTCCGCCCTGTGCCGTACAGGGGCAGGAAAACACGTCAATAACACACAGCACGTTATCACCATCGCATCAACGCCCAACGGAAACGGCCATTCAAACCGGACCGCCCGAAGGCCCAACCAACGGCCGACGTCCTTCTTGTTCCTCAGATCCCTGGGCCACTATATCTAGGGCGGTTTTTGATATCGTGCTGTCGTACTGCCATGTCGTACTGATGTACGAAAAGTATATTGCTGCTGCATTAACCCATAAACAGCAGGAAGATGACAGGAGGATAAAAATAAATGCAGCACGAGATCATAAAACTGGGTCGCATCCACCCGGTCTCCATTCAGAGCTTCGTGGCTTCGGAAAGACGTGAACCACGTGAACGAGTGAAGCTGCTGCCAAGGAAAGCGTGTACAAGAAGATCAGAACTGACCAGTAGGCGCTCTTTCGTGGTGGTGGGGGGGGAAACGGGAATCGCATGGGGGGGGGGGGGACGGGGGGGCGAGGCCTTCGTAATGATGCCGTACGGACACCAAAAACATCCAACACATGTCCCGTACATTACTAAAAATGGACAATACACCAGTCGTACTGCTCTGTACCCAGCACGTATCCTGCCCCACCTACAGAACATTGTACCACACGCAAACACACACACTCACACACGTACTCACGCATACGCGCACTCACTCACACACGCACTCACAGGCTGATCACGGGTGATAAGTCAAAGGTGTAAGCTCCGGAAGACCCCAAGCCCGGACACAATATCACGGGATAGCGGCGAGGGGGGGCCGGCGAGGCGGCGGCAGCGGCGGCGGCGGCGTAACTGAACTCGCCGCCAGCAGCGGCTTCCACCGCTGATGCCGCCTTCGCTGCTGCAGTACCATCTTGTTGTGCCACGCGCGTACGGACCAGATGCAGCCGCCAGCCGTCAGGTGTCGTACAGTGGTGGTGTGTTTTCACGTGGGGAGCGGTGGAGATTTGGTGCTGCTGCTGGTGCTGGTGGGCTGCGCTGGTGGCTGCTGCTGGGGAATGGGGTGCAGAATGGGATGTGCTGTTTTCGGATATTTGGGTTGAGCTTATGGGCTGAGGAAACGGCTCTGAAGGCATGGGCGAGCCCTGGCGCGTTTCGCTGGGCCGCTCGTCTAGGCCTAAAGATGACGAATTTGGATGTCTGGATGTGGCCACTGACCGGCAGCAGCTCCAGGCGAAACAGAAGCTGAAGTGCCTCCTACCACCGCCTGTATGAGTTCGGAATGGAGAATTTGGAGGGGTAGTGTGTGCTGCTGGGACGGTGCGTCAGGCAATTTAGGAACAACGATTAGGGGTTGACCTAATCGAAGTAGAATTGTCAAGTTGCAGGAAGTCCCAAATTACCGAGAGATTTTGGTGTATAATAGCTTGTTAGGTCACGTTGATGCTTGTCAGCTGCCGTGGAGTCCAGCTCCCGGTGCTTCCCGGGACAGTTCGTTGCAGGCAGTTCGTAGCGGACAAAGAACGCTTTAGTTGCACGTGCCCAATAAAATGCAGTGGCTATAAGGTAAATAAAAGAGTGAAGTGCCGTAAAGATTAACATCTTGCAAGTCGGAGGGCGTACTATGAAGAGCGTACTATTCCGCCTCAGCAACTGACGCCTCTTGTAGAACTCGAAACTCCTTTTGGGTCCAGAATGCAAACCTGTTGATGTCACTTAATCCTTGTAAAGCTTTATTGTTACCACGGACGGACTTTGGTGGCTTAATATTAGCAGGGCAATGGACATTCCTTAGTGCTGAGCCAGTTCACAAATGGATTTAAGTCTTGACTCTCCACATCATGCGTTCTCTTAGGTTCGCAGGTTTTACGTGATAGGGTCCTTGGAATGGCCATTCCGCCCAACATGAGTGAGCGAAGGACAGCGGTTCGGATGCTGCAAGGTCTAATCCAGGAGACTGAAGTGCCGGGTAAGCATCAAACTAATGAATTGTTACGTGGAGATACGAGTTGTGGTTTTCGGAGGACTCTTGAAAGGAAGGTTTTGGCGTTCCGTGTCCAATTTTGCTGGCGAGTATCCATCAGGCATGCTACCCGTGGACAAATGATAAGAGATGCCATCCTATTTCACAAGCCCTTGGAAGCTTTGTCGTAGCTGTGACTTGCCTACCTCACGCACATACCTCCATCCTCCAACCAAACTCCGGTTCTTCATCCAAGCCTTCCCCAATGTGTTTCAATATAAAAAACCTGCGCTAGTCCTGATTTAAACCAACCTCCCGCCCTCCGTGTCTGTGCCTCAGGTAGCCCTCGAGTTCCTACACCTCCGCCTGCAGCAATAGCCACACAGGGCAGTCGCCGCCGCAGCGCCTGCTTCCTGCTACCACCCACAGAAATTATCATAGAATCATCCTACCATACTGAAAGCTCGCGCAGCTGCACCCCTGGCGCCAGCCCGGAGGGGCCCCAAGCGCGCTCCCCAATCTTACCTGGCGCCGACCCAGATGGCCTCAGCCCCGTGCACCTCTCCGTCCCTCTCACGCTACTCAGTCTACACAACGGCGGCATCCGCCACTCACCGCGCGTCAGCCGAGACGCCTCCCCAGTCTCCTGCGTCCTGGCGTCCAGGGAGGGATCCATTATTTGCCATCCAGGTGACGGCGACGGCTACGATGAGCTGCCGGCCGCCGCCGCCGCCACGGATGCCGCCGCCGCCGCCAGCAAGCGTAGCTACGAGCGCAGCAGCGTCACCGGCTCCTCCTGCTCCTCCTCTTCCTCGCCTCCCAGGCGCAGCAACTCCATTAGTTTCCGGAGATCTAGCCCTCTCCCTGGAGCGACAGGCTCCCCGTTTGGCCCTGCCGCCGCCACCGCCGCCGTTACAGCAGCAGCAGCAGCAGCAGCAGCCGGCCCGTTGCCCCCTGCTAAGTCGTCGCGAGCCAGCACCTCCGGCATTTCGCGAGGGACCACGAGCCCCGTCGCCGCTGCTGCTCCTGCGGACGCCATCGGCGGTAAATCTCTGCCACTTTCCGCACCGGCGGTGGCGGCGGCGGCGGAGAGCTACCTTTACGGCGGCGGCGGCGGGATTTCCTTGCCGGCCCATCTCTGCCCCCACCGGCCGCCGACGCCAGTGTACAAAGATGACGACCTGTTGGCGTCCATGCGACACATGGTGTCACCCACACGGCGGCGCTCCAGGTTCGCCTCCGCCGCTGATTCGCCGCTGATGGCGGCGGCGGCGGCCGCCATCGCCGTGGAGGAAGGTAGTTTGCAAGACTCGCCACCACCCGCCGGCGCCAGCTGCATCAGTAGCATGGGCAATGGTGGCGGCGGCGGCGGTTGGAGCTGTAGCGGCATGTCGGTTCCTGAGGCGCCGCCGCGCACCCCTCGGCGCGGCGGCGGCGCTCTCAGCGTTGTTGGCGATAGCAGCAGCAGCAGCGGCGGCGGCAGCAGCAGTAGCAGCACCGGCACCGGCAACGGCAGCTTCCACGCAGCCGCCGGTGGCATTGGCGGCGAGGTGGCGTCGTCGTCGTCGTCGGCGGCGGCGGCGGCAGCTGGTCCTGCAGCATTGCGAGCGATGACGCCGGCGGCGGCGGCGGCGGCCGGCGATCATAGTCCTCGGCTCTCCAGCTTATCCATGACGTGGCGGACACAGCCATCCCAGTTGGGCCCTCTCCCTGGTGGGGCGTTACGTGTGTGCGGGGGGATCTAAGAGGGGGGCCTACTCCGGGGGGTACCGCCTAGTTATTGCCGCTAGATATTGATGTCTGTCCAAGGGATTTCCCCCCTTTTCCCCCCCCCCGAAAAACACACACGCACATAAGCACACACAGACACACACACCGGCTTTTATGGATGCCCTTCCCCCCTTGCAGCATTTGTGCCGAACTTGTAACCTGTAAAACTTGGTGTCTGTCTGCTTGTGAGTCTGTGTGTCTGTCTGTGTGTCTGTATGGACGTATGTATGTGTGCATGTGCAAGTAATGATGTGTATGTATGTAGGTTGTTACAGGGTGGTTAACTTCGCCACCGGCCCCCTTATGATGTGTATGTATGTACGTGTGTTGGTGGCTGCAGAGGAGCCCCTTCCGCGACCGCAATCCCGAGCAGCAGCAGCAGCACCCGGGGATCACGCTTCTTCCCCAGGCTCTTCACGCGGGAAAGAGGCCACACCAGCCGCCATCAACATTACCACCACCACCACCACCAGCAACAACAACAACAGCAACAACAGCCCATCCGCCACGTCACCTGTCGCTGCATCTGCGCCGCAGCCGCAGTTACCCGCTACGGCTATCAGCGGCACGGGGTTCACGCCGTCGTTGTTTTCCAGCTCGGGGCACCCGCCCCGGGCCGCCACCCCGGCGGGCCTTGGCGGCGGTGGTGGTGTGGCGGTGGTGGGCCCTCCGGGGGGCAGTGCTGCAGCCGCTACAGCCGCTACTGCGGGGAGAAGGCTCCGGGCCAACAACATTAACGGCAATACCAACACCACTAACAGCAACAGCACAATGAGCTTTCTTCTGGATTCGTGCCCGGAGCTGTCGTTGACCCCAGGTGTGTGTGTATGGGGGGGGGTAGGTGGGTAGGTAGGGTAGGTAAGGCGGTTATAATATGGTTGCTGGCGGTTGGTTGTTCTGTTCACGTGTGACGCAGCGGAGGGGTGCACAGTATACACGCACACACACGAACAGACATACAGACATATAGACACATACACACAGGCCCGGAGNCTGCAAGGAGGCCCACCTGCAATTTGAATACCACCCCTCCACACACACACCGCCTCACACCCTTTGTG